TTTTTTTTTTTTTTTTTTTTTTTTTTTTTTTTTTTTTTTTTTTTAGATCGATTCTAAAATTACTCTTGGTCTTGGTGGTGTACTTCTAGTATTGGCTTCTGTTGTATGTTCTGTTGGTTTGTTTGGTTTCATTGGCATTCCTGCAACACTTATTATTATTGAAGTCATACCATTTCTTGTCCTTGCTGTTGGAGTGGACAATATTTTTATTCTAGTTCAAACACATCAAAGAGAAAGTCGTCGTCCCAATGAATCAATACCTGAACATATTGGTCGTATTCTCGGTCAAGTGGGACCAAGCATGTTACTTACTAGTGTATCAGAAAGTTGTTGTTTCTTTCTTGGTAAATATTAAAAATATTTGTATGCAACATATTAAATAAAAAATACCAAATTAAATTATATTGAAAATATTTTGTTCTTTTAGGCGGATTATCTGACATGCCTGCTGTTAAAGCTTTTGCTCTGTATGCCGGTATGGCATTATTAGTAGACTTTGTGCTACAAGTAACATGTTTTGTTAGCTTATTAGCATTAGATACTATTCGTCAAGCAGTATGTATTAATAAAATCATATACATTATTCTGTAATAAAAATTTAACATAATTAATTTTTTATACATTTTTTAGAATAATAAACTTGATGTATGCTGTTTTGTACATGGTTCAAAAAAAGACAATGGAGAAGAAGTAGTAAATGGTATTTTATACAAACTTTTCAAAATTGTGTATGTCCCATTATTATTGAAAAAATGGGTACGAGCATTCGTTATGATAATATTCTTTGGTTGGATTTGTTCGAGTATCGCCGTTGTCCCACATATCGAAATTGGTCTAGACCAAGAACTTTCCATGCCCGAAGATAGCTTTGTTTTGAAATATTTCAAAGTAAGTATATTGCATATAAATATTGCATGTTCATTAATTACGAATATAGATTTATAAAAAATAGATATAACATTTTTTTTCTTTCATTTTATCTCTTTTATTTTTTTTTTTTTTTTCAGTTTTTAAATAGTTATTTATCTATTGGACCACCAATGTATTTCGTTGTAAAAGAAGGTTTAAATTATTCCGATAAAAGAGCACAAAATCTTGTATGTGGTGGTCAATATTGTAACAGTGATTCAGTATCTACTCAAATATTTATAGCATCAAAACAATCAAATAGGTGAGAGAGATAAAAATATATATATTTCTTATATCAAATTATTAATAATAATTATCAACAAATATTAAAATAATTATTTATTTAGAACATATATAGCAAAACCTGCATCGTCGTGGTTAGATGATTATATCGATTGGTCTCAATTATCAACTTGTTGTAAATATTTTATGTCGAATCATTCTTTCTGTCCACATACAGGTATAAAATTGAATAATTTTTATTATATTTTGCAATATATTATTGAATAATAAAAAAAATAAATAAATAATAATTTTATTATTTTAGGATCTACCAAATATTGCTCTTTATGTAATATTACCAAAAATGAAATTGGTCGGCCTATACCAACAGATTTTGACCGTTACGTATCATTTTTCTTACAAGATAATCCTGATGATACATGTGCTAAAGCAGGTCACGCTGCTTATGGTCATGGTGTTAATTATGTTACCGATCCTCTGACAGGCCTATCGAAAGTCGGAGCGTCTTATTTTATGGCTTATCATACTATATTAAAAACATCTGCCGATTATTATGAATCGATGAGAGCTGCTAGAACTGTATCTGCAAATATTACAAACATGATTGATGATTATTTAAAAAGTATCGGTGATAATTCAACGGTTGAAGTGTTTCCATATAGTATATTCTATGTTTTTTATGAGCAGTACTTAACAATGTGGCCTGATACGTTATACAGCATAGGAATATCTTTAATTGCTATTTTCGCAGTAACTTTCTTTTTAATGGGTTTAGATATATTTTCCTCTGTTGTTGTTGTAATAACTATTACTATGATTGTCGTCAATATCGGCGGTTTAATGTATTGGTGGCATATAACATTAAATGCAGTGTCTCTTGTTAATCTCGTTATGGTAAATATATTTGGTATAAGTTTTATTAAACACAAAATGTCATTAAATGAATTAATAATTTGTTTTTTTTTTTTTTTTTAAGGCTGTTGGAATTGCTGTAGAATTTTGTAGTCATTTAGTACATTCTTTCTCAGTATCAGTAAAAACAACAAGAGTTGAAAGAGTTGCTGATGCATTAACGAATATGGGAAGTTCAATCTTTAGCGGTATAACTCTTACCAAATTTGGTGGAATTATAGTACTCGGTTTCGCTAAAAGTCAAATCTTTAAGGTATATAATATGTAATTCAATTTAAAAAAACTTACATTTATTAGTATTTCCTATGCTCTTTTTTTCTTTATCTTATTTCTTTTTAAATACAACTTTTGAAAATTTTGTATTGTATTTGAACAAACTTTCAGGTATTTTACTTCAGAATGTATCTGGGTATTGTGCTATTTGGAGCTGCACACGGGTTAATATTTTTACCAGTATTACTAAGTTACATTGGTAAGATTAATTACATTTTCAATAATATATTTTCATATTAAATTTATAATTTTTATGCACATCATATTACATTATTTAGGGATTTCATCTATACTATTATTTGAAAGAAAACACCAGTGTCACTTGAACAGTATAAATACATAATATAATGAACATATAATAAATAATAAATTTAATTTTCATATCCCTAGATATTAAATATATAATTGACATGCAAGAAGATTGTATTTGAAGATATATATTTATTACAAAGTATATATTCCTTTTTGTTTCTTTGTTTTAATAATATTAATATTTGTATTTATCCATATTGATATAGAAAATTATCTTCGAGTATCGGCGATCTTCTAGTAATTCTTTTCAAAAAAGGATTAAAAATAAAAATAGAAAAATAATTTGAGCGAGCTTTGTCATAGCTTCTGGTGATTCTAGGCACACCAATGAACAGAGAAAAGTTGGCAAATCACAAGAGAGCAATGCAAGGAAATCTGGACAACGTACAGGAGACTTCCTTGAATCATGGCGTAAGCAAACTCAATTCTCCTCCCACACCCACCACAAGCACACCTACCTTCAGAGTGCTCGAATATCAAAGATAGGTACGCAGGATACACATATATTTACACTTTTTTTATGTCATGACAACATTCCTATCTTTATTCAATTTCTCGACACATAACGTAGCTTTATGCAACACATTTGTATATCTTAAAATTGTTTGATAAAAACAACTATGTTCTGTAATATAAAATGAACACTATAAATATCTTTTATCTATCAAGTGAAATTTTCTGCACTTGCTTAATTTTAATATAGGTACTCAAAATTGCGGATACTATAAGCTTTTTTCCAGAATTTATGTACTATAAATGCAGTCTGTGTATGTTGATGAGTGTGGGATGGAATATTTATTTCTATAAGGATATGCTTCTTTGTTAAAATCTTTTACTTTTCGTTGATTCAATAATTACAAATTAGTTGCAAAATATCTTTCTATTTCATGTGTTTCATTAGTGCTCTTGTGGTAAGATTGCCATTGTGTGTAATATAGAATCTAGGTATTATGTGTTATCAATAATTTGATTTAATTATATAAATATAATTGATGATGAAAATAGTTGTTAGTTCTTCTATTATGTGTGAATTATTTTACAATATCAAATTTAAAAGAGGGATATGAAAAAGATGTATTACCACTGGTGAATAGATCATATCTTCCTCATATCTTCCTCCTTTTCATTATATTTGCTTTCTTTTTCTTAAGCATTATTATTTGTATTATAATTTATTTATCCTATATATACTATCCTATAATATACTAACACATAATACGCTTTTAGGCAATTATAATTTAAAATGAAATAAAAATCTAAATTATTTATTTTCTCTTACTTTTCTTCGTAGGCGTGATGTCGCGCCGAAGGCGTAGAAGAACCAATGAATATGCCAGCAGGGCCAGAAACAAATATAAGAGTCAAGTATGTGGACCTGACTCTCCTTTACTCCAAAACGACAACAATCAGTACCCAACCACTTCCTACGCCAGTGTGAACTCCATAGATTCGACACATTATCAAATAATTTTTTAGCATTAATCGTTATTCGTAAAATGACTTTTATACTTAGAGAGAGACTGAACATAATCTGTCTGTATAATAAGAGTTATTTTTATTATAGATAATAACTTTCTTTTTTTTAAAAGTTTTAGTAAAATTTACGTTTGATATTAAATGGTGATTGGAAAAAAATTATATGATTGATGTAAGCATAAACTATGAAGTTCACGTCTGGTATTTTTTGTAAGTAAAAAGAGAAAAATTTCGTATCTTATTGTTATTAATAAACTAAGTTTTCGTTATATTTAGAATATTTAATTATAGAAAAAAATCTTATAATTTTATGATCATACATCATTAAAGCTTTAAGATCTATTCATTTAACATTTAAGATGGTACAATCTATCGATTCGATTGAAAGTGCCAATTATTATATAATTTAATTTTAATCAATTTTCATGTTTTTTTTTATATACATATATATATTTCCTTTTTTTTTTTTTCTTTTCTTTTTAATGAAAATGCATAAATCTGTGTTGCTTGGCAGAAGGTAAATGTACCTGTATATTTGTCGTGCTTTATCTGTGCATTTTTTTAATTTCCGATATAGATGTCGTATAATCTATTTTCTTAAAAGTATATTAATTCATCGATAATAATATTTATATATTATTAAAAAGTTTAAAATAAAGAACTTGTTTTTTTAACATTTCATTATTTTTAAAATTAATGTTTAAAATAAATTTTTTAAATTATTTGTATATTGCATAAACTCGAAACTTCGTCCAAAAGTATTAACCGTCCTTAGTCGAGATATTATCGAAAATAACATCGTATATATAATGAATTTTATCGTATTGTATGAATTTTAATTTTTGTATTGTATAGATCATTAATTATACATTATTTATCGTATATGTATATGTATGTATCGTATATGTATATGTGTATAAAGTAGCTATAATTCTGGATATGAGTGAATTTATGAAATTTATACGACATTCATATCGGAATATATAATATTATCTTGAATTTTATTCTTTCTATGTTATAATTGATAATAATTAATGTTGCATTATACTCATTAGTTTGTGAATTATTTAATATCAGTAACATTTTTCAGAAACATAATTTAAAACAAACATTCGAAAATCATTTTGTATTTTTTTTTTATATGTTTTTCTTATTTGTATTTTGTATGTTTTTCCATTTTGTTTGCAATTTTATTCTAATTGGATAACATTAAATAAATCATAACAAAAATTCAAGAAATTCAAAGAAAAAAATTAATGATGTATTTCTAATGTAAAGGATTATTATTTAGTTTTCTTATGTTCCATGTTTTTATAATTTGTTTAAAAACAATTCTAGATAATTAAGAATTTTCATTGAAAGAGAATAAAGAGAGACACCTAACCTTATTATTAAAAACTGAAGAACATTAATTATATTAATTTTCTTTGCGTGCTTCGTCGGTGTAAAATGTCTTGTATGACGTTTTTGCTCAATGCTTGTAATGAATTTTAATAGTATTGTTTTCAAAAATAATGCGAAATTAAACAGAGAAAAATGCAATTAATCAATTGCATCGAAATGATATCTCTTCTCTATAAACACGAATATTTTCTCTTACGAGTTCAAACTCACATGTTTTATATAATTATTTGTATACAAATAACAATTTTTATACTGACAACAAAAGAATATGTAACGCAACGTTACAAAAAAAGAAAAAAACCTCGCTAGTTAAAATTATTGTAGATAATACTGTTGCGATATTATTACTATGTATACGGGTGAAAATGGATACATGTTTATAAAAATCAGTGTTTGTAAATCCGATTGCATATTTCGTTTCACATATGAATTTAACGTTGAAGTAATATGTAAATGATTAACAAAAGTGAAATGGATGTTAAATAAAAAATATTATAATTTGGCAAAATGTACATAGAATTATACTCGGGTTCGTATATGATATATGAAAATGTCATAAAGAAAACATATCACTGCAAAAACTACAGTATTAAATTTTTGCGATGAAAAAAGCACGACGATATTACCAAAGAGATGTCTGGACAGCACGATAGCGTGTTAACACTTCATACGAATAAAAATTTCATCTATTTGTACAATGTATGTTTGTGTCCTTTTATA